CTACCAGAATCCTCTTGAGTAGGTAAGTGCATAATGAGATAGAGAGAAAAATAGATACACAGATAAATAGACAGATACAAAGATATGAACACAGTGAAATTGATAGATAGATAGATAGATAGATAGATAGATAGATAGATTTTTTAAAATAAACCTAGAATTGAACAGACTGAAATATCCCTCTCGCTTTCGAGAAATAAGCAGATATGAACTGAGTGAGAGAACATACACGCGCGCACAAACACACACACACACACACACACACATATATATATATATATATATATATATATATATATATATATATATGATAAAAAGTATAGTTTTAAGGCATGTTTTATTTATGGGTTAAACTCCTCAATACCATTGATAGAATGTACGTAAAATGAATTCAACATTAAGCGACGTCAGTCTGTTTCAAATATAGGGCAAATATTTTCTTTTTTCTTGTTGCCATTTTACATGATATTCGGTTTCTATTTTTGATTTTAAGCAATGTTGTAAATTTAAAAATCGAAACTAAAAACGAATAACATAAAGTATTACCAAGAAAAAGTTATACGCTCTATATAAAACTGAATTAATTATGCATATTCATAAATATATATATATATATATATATATATATGGGTAAAACAAAACCTTGTTAGAAAGATTCTGTACGAAAACTTATTGTATAGATTAAAATGAGGACTGGAAGAAAGGCGCCTAATATTTAATATAGTGATAATGATATGATATTTTTTTTTAATAATATGACTTTTTACAGAGAAGAAGTAAAACATTTTTTTACTTAGTATTGAATTTACAGTTTTTTTTCTTAGAAAAATAATTTGTTGTTTTCCTTTTTTTAAACTTCTTTAACCGGTTTCCCTTAGCTTTTCCAAAAGTTTTTAGCTGTTTCTGTGTCCACGTGTTGATCCTTACGTTCTGTACCAATGAAAAAACAAAAAGAAAATCAAGGGGCGTAACTAGCTATATATGTCGTTTATAGTAAAAGGAATTTCGGTGGTATCTATGTATGTAATGAATTAAGTATGGGTTTGAACTTGATATACACAAGTATGCCCGCATAAAAGCATTTAAAATAATTTAAAGCATAACCGTAATCCCCCAACCAATGAATGACACATTTTCTCAAACGGGGTCCCCCAGAACCTTATTTTTCCGCAAAACGTCCCCAATGATTCTGCGAGAACAGGTGAGATAAACTTAGGGGCACTTTTGACTTTTTATTCAATTTCACATATGTAATATTATTGAACAAACGCAGTATATTCTTAGTTATTGTAATATTATAATAAAGACATTATTCTATTATATTATTAAAAAAATATATATTAATATACTATTTATAGTAAAGGATAAAAAAATAAAAAGCTGCTGCAGCAATATCTATTTTCGTTCTGTTTACATTTATATTATAGGTATATATTGGTTACTTATATTTATTTTTTACGTATGAGTTTAGAAATATTTTTTGTGTCAATGAAAATTTCCTGATAAAATATTATAAGCGAACAGTATGAATTTTATTTAGCATTACCAAAAAATTTGACTAAGAAGTATTAATTTTTCCTTAAACCAGTTATTCAAAAATACGTGAACTATGATGAAAATAAAATGAGAAAAATATGGCATATAATTTTGATTTTTCGCAGAGCTTCCTTGAGACATAATTACTTTAAGGTTTGCGCAAGGGTAAAAAGGTTGAGAAACCCTGCTATATACACATATTCAATATTTTAATATCCATCCTGATAGGAAAGATATAATACCAAATGCGTGTCGCTACATTTAAACAATAATAGCTTCGTCTATTTTTAGTCTTTACTTGAAGTGGGTTCTATATTATATTTTGGTATTACCTATTATTATTTATCTTACATGACTTGGGTAATGTTAATAGCAATTCAGAGCATGTCATGAAGATTGCTTCTAAGCATGAATCAGACTGTCATTGGTGGGTGAGGACCTCAATGTCCATCTCTCTCTCTCTCTCTCTCTCTCTCTATATATATATATATATATATATATATATATATATATGAAGGGTGTTCCAATAACTTGGACCGATCTTAAATATTAATTAAGTTTAAGAGTCTAATGTTTTTTCCTTTTTCGTTCAGATTTGGCTGACATTTTGCGATATTATTTTTCACACATAATTGCAATGACTTATCCAATAGAAGAATAAATTTTCCCCAAGAACGTTGATTTATTTACTGCTGACTTTGGTCTTTATATATATATATATATATATATATATATATATATATATATATATACGTTATACGTTATGAAATGGACAAAACATGACAATTATTTTAAGACATCTTTTTTATGTTTATACGTTCTTATTATACATACAAATATTTAAGTAAATGCTCTGAGAAATTTTCATAGAAAATTGGTTACTCATGTTTAATTTTTACGTTTGAGTTTAGAATTTTTTTTTTTAGTCAATGAAATCTCCCTGATGAAGTTTTATAAGCGGACAGTATGAATTGTTTTAGCATTACCGAAATATTTGACAAAGAAGTATTACTTTTTCCTTACACCTGTTTCTGAAAAATATATACTATGATATTTGCCACGCGAACTACGTTGAAAATAAAATGAGAAAGATATGGTAGATAATATTGTTTTTTGCGCAAGGGGCCTTGAGATGAGTAATTTATTTTAAGGGTTACGCAAAAAAGGCTGAGAAAGGCTGGTCTAGATAAGAAAATAAACTCTCCTACACAAACTAGTACGTATAAAGAGCCGAGTCAAAACACGACACACAAGGACTGAAATTTGCGTTTAACGATGAAGTAAAGCACAACACCCAGTTTTAAATATATAATATAATATAAATGTAATACATATATAATGCATAATACACACACACACACACACACACACACACATACATATATATATATATATATATATATATATATATATATATATATATATATATATATATATATATATAAGACAATTTTAATGTTTATACGTTCGTTTATAGATACTAATGTAAATGCTCTGTTTATAATAAACAGTATTAACAACATTTAACATTACCGACCTGAATGTCCGATAAATTGTCATAGAAAATATGAGTCCTCCGACAGGAATCGAACCTATATGGAACCGTCATATAGCCTGACGTGCCTTAACCGATTGGGCCACAGAGGAGCGTTCGGTTAGCAAGATCGATTTTACTGTTTTTAAACACAATTCTCCACGATTTTCTTTCTGATTTTGTACCATATTTATGTTATAATTTTCAAATAAATTTTATTTCCTCTACTCTGTATCGAACACTCTTTTAAGAATTGTATTTTGGTTATTGAAATTTATTCCGTATACACCAATCTTATTTTAATATATATATATATATATATATATATATATATATAATATTCCTATGTTGTTAACGTCCATTCCTAATAAAAACGTAACTTATTAGCATTTTATGGCTTGGTAATTTTATTCAGAATCGAATATAAGGAAACCACATAATATTTTCTTTTACCATTTTCTATAGCATTTAACTTTTCTTACAGATGTCTTTTAATGAATGTCTAATCAGTCCTGTATGATTAAAATTTTGCTATTTAATTTTTTTTTTTTTTTTTGGTTTTTTGTTTGTCTCTCCATCGATTCCGTTAACTATTCGATGAATTTACAATAGAGGACTTTTTTGTAACGTCTCTCTTGATGCGAAACTGAGATCTGTGAATTAAAATTTTTTAAATTGCTCTTATCAGACCAGCATCTGAGTCTCACTGGATCATCAAAGAAATTCTTAACATTTCTTTTCTATTTTTTTTTTACCAAGAAATATAAGAATATTGTTCTTTTTTTTAATTACTGAATCATGATCTTTCATTTCGTCTCTTAAATTAATCACATTATAGCTTCTCTTTAGCCTAGTGTCATTGAAGTTTAGCATTAAAATTTGCGTAGAAAACCATTTTATGACGACTTATGGATTTTATTATTAAAAGGAGTTGCCAGATTTTCAATGGCACTGAAGTGGGGACCACTCTATTTAATAAGTTTTACTATATATAGCAAAATATCAAAAGTGTGACAAGCACAGTGTTCATCCAAGAGTCAGTTTCTAAAATCGATTCTACGGAGTGATAGTATTAAGTAAGTTGTTTTATGTTGTGAGAGGTTCCAGTAACGATCGAACAGGCTATAATAACTGGAGCAGTGTGAATACAGCTCGACCGCGCCATCTGTGAAAAGTCGAAGAATGAGCAAGATTTTTTTCATTTAAGATAATTAATTAATAAAATTTACACGCACTTAATAAAATGTCAGTTTAAGAAATCTGAAGACATGGGAATGACGAAAAGGCCTTTGAGAAACGAAACGATGACTTAAGTGACAGAAAGATATACTCAGATTCAAAGAAAAGAGTACAGAACTCCTATGTAATTATAATATACATATCTAGAAAATTATATATTTTAGTTTTAAAGGTTTTGAGAGTCATAGCAATTTTTAACGTTTCCCTCAGAGAGATTGCTCGTAGAAAACTGACAGTCATTCATGGTCTGATGAACGCTGTCCCTAATTTGATAAAATATAATATCTGCCAGTTTCGCTTTGAGCATTTTGTCCTGATGCGTTTTTTAACATATTTCTTTTCAGGGTTATTCACATGTATCAGGCAAAACACACATTATATATATATATATATCTGTTGATTGTGTTATTGAATGTTATATATATATATTATATATATATATATATATAGTTACATAAATTATATATATATATATATATATATATATATATATATAGATATTCATTATATATATATATATATATATATATATATATATTTCTGAGAAAGAGTACTATGCATTTATTTACATTATTCGAAATATTAATCGTGTGAATCTTTGTCGCCGGAAACACAACGTTTCAATGTTGTAAATTTCAGGCCTTATTGAGGTGGATAAATGTTCGAACTGTCGGTTTATTTCAGTTCAAAGTTTCATAAATTTGCTATGAATTCCAACCTCATTTGTCAGTCTTGGATATTCAGTAGGCATCCGAATGGATCAATTTATCAAAAGACTATTTTGCACGTCTATTTCCATTAATCTGCTGGCAACTGGAACTTTTCTTCTTTCTTGTCTTTTTCAG